ATTTCTCCTCCATGTGTATATAAGTATAGAACTGTTTTTTGTTTTTTTTTAATCAAGCTTACATTTTATAATGGCTTATTTAATAAGGCAGTGTCAGAAGCAGTGATGAGGTGCAAAGTATAGTAACCCAGTTAGAAACTAATTATGTCTATGTTTGTCAGAACATTTTGGGGATGAATACTAATTGGCTATTATTGATGACTGAACTTTGTACATGGCATTGTGCCTTATTTAAATAAGCCTTACCCTATTGGCTCCATAAGGCTGGACATTATCCTCCAAAGGCTGGGCATGCTCATTTAACTTTCATATTTGTCCCCCAAATTTGGTATAGCAATCTGAACATATTAATAATTGCACCCGCATAGAAAATCCTGAAATGACAGATTACTGGTGGACAACATAACGATGTTAAAATATGAAGGCAAGCTTGTATAAAGTGGAAACAAACTCTTTTTTTATAGACAGTTAATCAGAAACATGCAGATATATAATTAAAACTAATTGGGATGTTTTCTCCCTTACATTAAGTGGCTACTTTTACACAGTGCTTGTGATCTGTATATACTGAAAAACAAACTGTTGGTAAATGGGTGTACATTGTAAAATGCATTTATGTTATTGCCCATGTATTCAGGATGTAAGGCTTTTAGGCAAAGGTAATAAAATGCTGTAAACTTTTAATGATGGTAGTACCAAATAAATGGCAACCTAAGCATTTTTCTTTAATGATCCCACTTACAGTGGTTTGCTAAAGTGATGATAAAATATGTCCTTATTAAATAATGTATTTGTCTGGTTTTCTATTGTTAAAGCCAGTCACCCTCCAATGGATCTTAGAAGTATGCTTTGGGAGGAGGCTTACTTTATATTTAAGCTATTTATTAGCTTATAAAAATGCTGGTCACTTATGTTTGTATGTGTATATATAGATATAGATCTATATGTATAGATCTATATATCTATAGATCTACAGGTGAAACTCGAATAATTAGAATACCGTGCAAAAGTAATTGCTGTAAGTGCTGCAAAAGGGGCCCAAACCAAGTACTGAGTACATATGCATGCTTGTACTTTTGAGGAATCTGACACCATGCCTGATGAATAGTACTGTCCAGTTCTGTGAGATTTGATGGTTGTGGAACCAGCTGCCTGATGGCTCTTTCAACTTTGTCCCACAAATGCTCAATTGGATTGTGGGGGCCACCTAAGCAAGGTGACGTCTCCCTTATGTTCTTGAAACCACTCCTGCACAATACGAGCACCGTGGCATGTCACATTGTCTTGTTGGAACAAGCCATCTCCATTGGGATACGCTATCAACATGATAGGATGAACTTGATCAGCAACGAGGGATGTTGTGCTATTCAGACGTTGTTCCACACGAATTAAAGGGCCCAAATCATGCCAGGAAAACATGCCCCAAACCATAACACTGCCCCCACCAGCTTGAAGGGTTGTACTCATGCATGTGGGGTGCATGCTTTCATGCTGTTTCCGCCAAATTCTCACTCTGCCATCTGCATGATGCAACTGGAAACGTGATTCATCGGACCACATGACTTTTTTCCAATGCTCGACTGTCCAATCCTTGTGTTCCTGTGCGAATTGGAGACGTTTTATCTTGTTAACTGCAGACAGCAAAGGTGTTCGAACAGGCCTTCGGCTTCCATATCCCATACGATGCAGTGTACGGCGAACAGTGCGTTCAGAGATCATTTGAGAGGATCCCTGATTAAGATCTGCAGTAATTTGATGCACTGTTGCCCTTCTGTTGTCTTGTACCAGTCTTGCCACTCTCCGTTCTGCCCTAACATTGACTAGTCGCTGACGGCCACAATTCGCACGTTCAGACCCAGATTTTCGGCTGACAGTCCAGTCTTTAAACACTTTAACAACAGCTGCTCTTGAACATTTAACGAATTCTGCTGTTTTGCTGATACTCGCTCCATGGCTCCGAGCGCCAACAATCATCCCACGTTCAAAGGCTGTTAAATCGCGTTGTTTACCCATATCTTCAGAAAAAAATCACTTCTACTGTCGTGGTAAACAACCTGCTTCCCTATTTATAATGGTCTGGCCCTCTAGCAACTTCAGCGCGAAATTATAGCTAATTTGCCTACAAACGTCAGGTGGTCATAATAATAATCTGGCCACTCAGTGTGTGTGTCTGTATATGTATGTATATGTATATCTATATATACATACACAGTATATAGTTTTATCATTCTGGGCCCAAAATATGTATATTTTTAACCCTTTCGCTGCCAAGGACGTACGGCATACAGAGCTACAAAAGTGCTTCCAGCTGGCCATTCGCAGGGCCTACAAATTTAGTATCACCATCTTTTTATTCTACCGGGCCTGCGCTTTCAGAAAATATATGGTTTGGGGGGTCTTTTACAAACGCTAGCAACGCAGCAGTTGAAAATCAAATCAATAGGAAAAAAATGCAGAAAATTCAAAAATGGCTTGGCCAGCTGATTTGAAAAATGTTCCGGAGGGCTTGGCAGCGAAAGGGTTAAATGGCACAGAGCAAAATCAACCTAAGTACTTGTGTATATTGATTCAAATCTAAAAGATCTCTTCAGGAATTCATGCTGACCTCCCATTTAGTGTGTATGCAGCCTTCTGTTACACCCAGACGTGTCTAACATACAGTCTTATAAATGGCTTTGGTAGCCAAAGGTTTATGCTATTTCAAATCCTGATGAAATCACTTACAATGACTTCTGCTCCTTGATGTTTGAAAGTTTTAGGGGTCTGATCACGAAGCTGCTGAAGGATCTGGCCGTAGCCGTGATCTTACGGTTGGCTCCGGTCAGCCGATCCAGATGTTGGATCGGCTGAGTCGAACTCCTTCTGCACTTCGGGTCGGCCGAACATGCTGAGCGTGTTCGGCCGACCCGAAGCCACACTAAGCAAGCCGATGTACGGCTGAAATTAGCCGTACCAGACTGAAGTGAATAGCCGAACAGTGTTTGGCTCACTTCACTTCAGATCGGTCATTCACTCGGCTGCCCTCGGCAGCTTCGTGAATAGACCCCTTAGTTTCCTCCAGAATCAGCTGGTCTCACTCTAACATTTGCAGTGATATGTAACATGTGTGGCGCACATAGGTGCACCCGACGCATGTTTGTGTGTATGTGGGGCAGGGGACTTTTTACATCTTTTTTTATATGTGACTTTCATTTTTTTCATTTATTGCTATCACATAGGGGGCTAAGAAGCCCCTTATGAGATAGCCAATTTAAAAGACAGGTCCTCTTTATGAAGACATCAGCTGTCTATTAAACCCCTAATGTCACCTAGGGACACCCAAAGAAGCTGATGAAGCAGAAATCTGCTTCACCAGCTTCTCTCCAGCTACAGCTGAATGCAGGAAGCGATGTATTATACATCACTTCCTGCATTCAAAGAACGGAGGAGAGATCAGAGGGAGATCGTGTGATGAGCTCCATCTGATCTCCGGTGACAAAGCTGCCACGCGGGTCCAGGGTCCACACCGGGCACAGCAGAGCTTGTGACAGACGAGGGGGGGTGCACACCCACATGCATAATACAAGTGATTGGGTGTCTCTACAGATGCTGGAACGCGTCTATGTAAATAGCCATCGCTGGCTTTATACAATTTAAGCAATTTTCCTGCTCCCAGCAGCGCGCGTGAGCAGGACGGGCGAGGACTTTAAAAACACCCACTCATATTCAAGAAGCTCCCGGCCAGCCATTTAATTACAACGCCCAGCTGGGGATTGGTTAAAGAGAATCTGTACTGTGGAAGCTGTGCACCCCCAAAAAAAAAGTGAAGGACAAAGATTTAGTCACCTGTACTGCCTGTAGGCTTCCTGCAGCCGATCCTTTCCCCTTAACTGAGTTACCATGCTTTGCTCTGAACTGTGTGGGGGCAGCCATCTTGCTAGAGGAGTAGGGCTTTACTTTGTCAGAGCTGCCCTCTTATGACTTGCCATCTAATAAGAGGGGGGATATTCATGAAACCATCGGGTGAGTAAACACAAATCCACAGAATAAAAGTTTGAGCAGGGAGATACTTGCACTTCAGGTCCTCAAATACAACTTCCTCTCCAACAAACCCTCAGGAGAAGAGTGAGCAGAACAGAATTGACATCAATAAATCTCCCTAAAAAATCGTTTAGAATAAACAGAGATAGCAGTACCTTAAATGATCTCACGCTGCAGATATCCAGCTTTTTGGCAATGTAACAGGAGTGCCTAGTCACAGTCACATTTCAGTAAATGTACTGCATTTTTTCAGTAAGAATTTGAGAAGAAGGGTATCTGTGGATACGGCCTAGGCAAAATTGACCTCTTTATATATTTTCTAACACATAGCAAATTATCACCCTTTTGAATATAGGTCCTCTTTGATAATAAACTCAAAAATGAATAGGACATCTATGTTGCAATCCCTATAGTATCTCTAAACTACTGGAGTTGATTTACTAAAGGCTGTTCACTTTGCGGGAAGATTTTTCTTTAGCCTAGTAAATGAGGTGAAACTCTGCTGACTTCCATCATCCAGTCATAGCCAAGCAAAAAAAACAAAACTTTTTTTTCCCTTGCACATTATTGGGTATTCTTTTGAAAGGGGAATTTTCGCCTCAATAACTAAGCTAAAATCCCCCTGCCATGTGTATATTATCTTGCAAAGTGACCAACTTTGCCTTTAGAAAATCATCCCCACTGTGTGATTGCAGGGACTCTCAGTAATCAAAACAGGATATTAGAATTATGAAGGTTGGAATGCTTGGAGGGCAAGATTACGTTAATAAAGGAGAAAGCACAAACTCATTTTGTTTTACGTTGCAACTGACTCATAACCTCTGTGTATACATTTTTGTTTATTATCTGTTTGATTTTAAATGCCAAGGCTAATGACAGGTACATATAAAAAACATAGTTTAATGCAGTTATGTATTAATAAAAATGTACGTAGAACAATGTAAGTGTTTCTACAGCACACTCTCTTTTTGAATTTTCAGATCCTTGCTGTAAAACTCTGGAAAGGTGTAATGCAAAGTCTGTATGCAAGACTGTATGCACAGGTAAGAACTGATTTGTCAAGATACAATGTTCTCTTTATACTGCTTTGTTATCCATGCTTCTTCCACATATGCATCTTTAATGGATGTAGATTTGTGAAGCCAGCCGAAGGATCGGCCGAAGCTACGGCCAGATCCTTCGGCAGCTTTGTGAATAGACCCCAAAGTTATCATCCGATTCCATTGATGCGCTAGTAGACTGGTAAATCTAAAAAGTAGAACATTTATTTTTTTTAAAACATAATCAAAAGAATATGGGAGGAATTTATCAAAACTGGAGCAGACAAAATCTGGAGCAGTTGCCCATGGCAACCAATCATCTTCTCTCTTTAATTTTTTCAGTTAAACTTTGAAAATAAAACGTGGTTGCTGATTGGTTGCCATGCACAGCTGCTCCAGATTTTGTCTTTCTCCAGTTTTGATAAATTCCCCTCCATGTGTGTACTGCAGGTAGGCAGTGCCAAAATACAAAATAACCTTATAAAACACCAGTAAAAGAAAATGAATCACGATTAGAGATACTTTTCCAACAATGGATAACAACAGCGGCAGAATTGTTAATGTTAATTGGTCTTGCAGCTCAACGAGGCAACAGACCACACTGACATAGTGCAATACTTTTTTTTTTTATCTATTGGATTAATACTAAACACAAAACTGGCAGGAATGAAAGCTCTTTAATGGACATGTCTGCAATCCTCTTGAGTTGAAGTGCCTGGTCACCGTGGCCAGTGCTGAGGTTAAATATTGGCATGTTGGTTTTATTTTATAAGCCACCTGATTCTCTGCATGTCTGTATGAATGAATCAAATTTTGGCACACATATCATTTAAAATAATGATTTCTATTGTAAAAAAAATGCACATGAAAGAATTGTTAATAGCTAAACAGGCTTTTAGCTTGTGAGTTTATATGAATCTACCAAATTGAGGTTAAACAGATGGGAGATTGCATGTATGTTAAGATCATAAGCCATATGTACCTAGACCTCTTCTCCCCATCTGTGCACTGTTAGCTAGTTCTGTTTCTTTGTCCCTTTCTGTGACCCTTTTCGTTTTTCACACCCTGAGACAGGTCAGTTTTTTATGTGGGAAGGAGAAAGGAGGGTACGTGAAGAGATGAAAGGCATTTTTCAATTTCTAGCTCTTCCTACCGTACATTTAACACAGGGAGATAGGCTGTGTGGTTATGCAGCTTTGCACCAGGTTACACTGTGTGTTGTGGCTAGTAGATACCATTAGCTAGACAAGAATATTCCTGGGAGAACAAGTTAAAGTAAGATAAGTAGAACTGCTCTAAATAAATAGCAAATTCATTCAAGCGAATGGCCCTGCTGTCTCATGTTTGATAAACAGTGACAGCAAGTGATAATTGTAATTTTGTGTTTTACTTTCTGCTGTTCATACAGTTTTCTATTTAAAGAAAATCTGTACTAAGGAGGAATGGAAGTTGTTGGCATATCCGCCTAAAAATGCTAGTTCCCTTAGACCCCCGTTCACATTGAGCGATTTATCGCGCCGTAATTCCCGCGATATCGAGGCAATTTACCGCGCGATATCGCTCTCCAATGCTTCTCAATGGGGCAAAGGGTCCTGCTGTCGCGGGTCGTGTGTCACTACAGCAGGACCCTTTTTGGAGCGGATTTAGCCGCGATTCAAGCTTGCTCCATGCAAGCATTTGCGCGATATCGTGCGATATTGCGCAAAATGCAAATCGCGTGACAAACGCGCGATTTGCGAACCGCTCAATGTGAACGGGCTCTTACTGTCACGCTGATCCACTGATTTCAGTCTTCTCTAAATTATTGGCCTCTAATAAGTATGCAAATTAGGAGCTCTGGTTTAACTCTGTCTGTCTTTCCTGATTTTAATACTTGTGCAAGGTCAGTAAGTCAGAGAAAGTATTGAAGCCATTAGGTCATTAAGGTAAATAAGCAATTAACTTTTTTAAGTAGATTAGTAATGCCAGTCTTTGTATTTCTCTCAGAGCAGGTTTCCTGTAATAAAATACTTGCATAGCAAAATCAAGGAAGTTTTTACTCTTATTGTTGTGTTCTCTCATTTTATTTATTTACTTATATATTTATTTGTGTTTCTTATATGTAGATTTTGACCATAACATGTATGTGATAATGATGTGCCATTTTATTGGATGGGCATACTATATAAATTGGGGAAGGCAGGTTGTTGGCTTTTCTTTACTACACTTTACTACAGAGGCCAGATGCTGTTCACAGCTTCCTGGTTTTCAAAAAACAAAAGAAGAAATTTCAACTTCACCCCCTGCTGGTGAGTTTGCAGCCTGTTAAGTTACTTATAGCAGCATTCACGTTCCTGAACATTGTACACACTGTGCTGTTTGCCAGCAGCTGCAGTTGTTTGTCTCGGTCATGCAGTAATGGGGAGTTCAACTATGAACTTCATATCCACTCAGATATCAGGGCCGGTTCACACCGCAAAGCCGGCCGGCTCCCTGCGTTCAGGAGCGGGAGGGGGCGTGGTGGTGCATTGAAGTGAATGGCACACCCACCCGTCCGCAGTGCTATGGCCTGCACCCAAAACGCAGGCATATTAGTGCCTGCGTTTCAGTCCAGTGCGATCTGCAAAAATACTGCAGGCACTCTGAGACTCTGGTGTGAACCAGCCCTCAAAGCTATGGATTTTTAAAGTGTTTGGATGTATTTAATTTAGTTAATATTAGATATGCAGTATTTGTTAAACTGGGCTTTTCCAAATCTCAGATCTAAAAATATAGCTGGGATGACAATTGGCTTCCAATTAGTAGTAAAACATTGCTTTAAGCAAGTATATTGTAACACTTTAAAAATGAATACACTGGGAGTGACTCCATCTATTTTAATAGAATAATTCAAACCAATTCTGACAGAACGGCACATTTTTAAATTCACATCCAACAGTATGCAGTTACAAAAATTAGAATACATTTAAAGTCGCCCAAATTAACTGTACTTTAACTTTGTCATAATGGCAAATTCACTTAGAGAATATAGCAATCATTTTGTAATTCTTTTCATAAAATTGAGATATATTACTTTTTGATTGCATGAACATACAGGTCGTCTTTGAAGCTTGAATTGCATAGCAAATGTTCTGGCATCCGATAGTTTATTCCTTCATTGAAAAAAATCTTCAAAGTTTCAAAATGTAACATTAGCCAAAGGGTAGACTATGGAAACCTGAAATATTGCTAGTGAAGCTAAGCAAGTTCAAAGAGTATTTCCTAATTAATCTTCACATTAAAGTGTACCTGTTAGCCACACACACTTAGTACATATACCTAGATTGTACTATATCACATGCTTTCTTTTATAGTCACAGTTTTATTTGTTTAAATTAATTAGCTATTTTAGCATATAATACATGCACAAATATTAGTTAGGTGTAAGTGAAATTAATTTGTAGTTTTCTTCGTTTACAGCTCTACATTGGTATCTAACATAAAGCTGTGATTAAATGCACAGCTACTCCTAGCGCATATAAGGAGCACCTCTGCTTTGTTTCCCAGCATTTTTTTTGCAGTCTGAAACAGAGTGAAATACCAGGTGCCTTCGGGTATGAGGACAGGAAACAAGAGAGAAAACTAAAGCTGAATATAAGCAGCAGTGGGAGTCTCAAGTGTAGTGTTGAGCAGATCTCTGTTCTTCAGCAGCTTCTCTGGGGGGTCTCTAGGTGACAGGGGTCTTGGAGACCCCTGATGTCTCCATAAAGAGGACCTGTCATGTAAATTGGCTATCACATAGGGGATTTCTTAGTCCCCTATGTGATAGTAATAGTAAATAGTAAAAAATAAAAACCCCAGCAGTGATTAAGTACCACCAAAAGAAAGCTCTATCTGTCCCCAAAAAATCGTATAAAATTTGTTTCAGTACATTGTTGCATGACTGAATAAACGTCAGTCAAAGTACTGCAGCGATGAACACTGAAAACTGGCCTGGCCAGGAAGGGGGTGTAACACCCTGGTGTTTAAGTGGTTAAAAAATCTTTTACTTTTTAAAATGTATTACTTATTTACATATTTTTTAAAAAAATCTACTTTTTTCTACCTTTTTCATTGCTTTCCTATTCTGCTCAGTACCAAGGAGGAACCGAGCAGAATAGCCGAGCCGAATGCCGCTCCGAGTGAGTGAGTTGTCGGAGCTTTGGCTCAACCGATCCAGAGCATGTTCGGCTGACCGAAGTGCAGCCGAGGCCAGCTGATTTCAGCCGATATATGGCTGAAATCAGCCTTACAAGCCTGAAGTGAATAGCTGAACAGCGTTCGGCTCACTTCGGGTGGGTTATTCACTTGTTTGCCTTCGGCAGCTTTGTGAATAACCCCAAAAATGTGTTAAACTTTTCAATGTTCACTATGTTGCAACAATGTTGCTCATCATCACTATAATTAGGGCAGGAACTAAGCTTTATTTATAGGACATCATTGAAGTGGATATGCCCACACTGATGTCAACTGGTGGCAGGTACTGCAACAAGAAGGGTGATTAGATAGGTCTGCCCTATGGACTCTAGTGCCATTTTACAGAGTTTGTTTTCATTTCCAGAGTGACATTGAAGGAATCGAATAGTGAACATTGTTAAAGTGATGTAAAATTCCAGCAAAGCTTCCTCTTCATGGTCTGCTGTGCACTCTACACCTTTAAACACAAAAAACAATTTTGACAAAGTAAAGAACCATAATATACTTAATCTCAATTCATCTTTTTGTATAACATTCACATATGAAGTGAGAAAAATGCTCTCGACCAGGGAGTTCACACAATGCATCCTACACACGGTACTGTACTTCCCAATGAATCTGAAGAAAGAGAGGCCTTATGATTATTAAATAAGAACAAAACCAAGTGGGCTGTTCGTCTAGTGTATATTTAGTGTTTGACTAATGATTGCTGCATAATGCATTGGAGGGGATTAAAGGGGAAAGAACAATAATTATCAAATAACAATGAAATAAGTATGCCTGGAGGAAAAATAAAATGTAGTTAAATA